TGCTCTAGAGTAAAGAATAGGTATGCTCCTATTTGGCACAATCCAATTTGAACTGATTCACTTTATCTATTCTTGACAAGGAGAAATCAAGGAGAATGATGTTTTCTTATATATTGAATTTCACATTAAAAACTTTATTAGTAGAATTAGTTATTTAAGAGTTATTAAAATTACATATTTATTTTAATTGTCTATTAGTGACATATAAACAATTTGAATTATATTGTTGCGATTAAGCATTAATTTTCTAAAATCTTAGTTCGCAGCATCTAATATTACTCCCTGTGAGATCGATATCTAGGACTTCATTAGAGCCCTATATTACATGAGCGATACGTATACTTGCGTTGATAAGTGTGACTTTGCCATTATTGAATATTTTATATACATCTTTATCGAATCTATAACCGTTGTTAAGTTTTTGGTGCTGTTGCTGAGGAATTAAATCTTCTAGCAACAGTATTAAATACTTGTATTTTTAAGCATATATAAAGTCGCTGTCAAATTATTTCTTTTCTTGTTAAAATCTCTGCCGATTCTTCCCCCGTACACCTATGCCTCCCTTTATTTGGATTCTGCTACCCGTTTTGACGAAAAAATTAACCGAGCCTCCTATTTCGCGATATAAGGAAAATTGTGAAAGGCTTTTTGTGCATTCAGCGCTTCCTAGTCTACCTCTTCGACAAGTGAGTTACGACAACAACAATCACAAGACTTCCCTTTCTGGTTCGGTTCTTCTTTGATGGTGGTTCTCGGGTAGAGAAAGAGAGAGGGAAGGAGAAGAGAGAGAGAGAGAGAGAGAGGGGAAGTGAGATAGATATTTTCTTGTAATCGTCGAAGCTATATACGGTGTGTAATCCTTGAAGTAATAAAATCTTCTGCAACTTCGTGGATGTAGACAATTTCCCGAACCACGTAAATTTGTGTCGCTTGTGTTTTACAATTCTCTCGTTCCAATTTTTCGCTTTATTGCTGTACTTTTTCGCAATATCATGTGCATTTACACTATTAATGATGGTAAATGATGTACTACAAGCATGTGTTATTGTTGCTAGCAACAAAATTGATGGATGTCAACATTAATGTTATTTCTAACAGTGATGTTATGTTTAGGGTTAATATTATTAACATTGTGTCAATATTGCAGTTAAAGTAGGTAATAACTAACAGTTATAAAAAAAATAAAAAAAGGTACATATGAAAAAAAAAAAAAAAACTAAAGGTTTTTCGATATAGAAGCTTTTAAATAATATTATTTAGTTATAAAAACTTTTAAAAAATTATGAGTAAATGACACTCTTAAGATAAACAATGACCTTCCCATCCAAATTACTCCAAATGCTGCTCCTCACCTCCGCCCGCAACCCCCATCCAAACTTAGGGTGCATTTGGGACAGCTTGTGTGTTTCAGGATAAACAGCTTATGCTGAAACGCAGCATGCGGATCGACCGTAGGGATTGACCTGTGGCTTATGTTTAGTGTAAAAATGGAACTGCGTTTTCGGATAAACAGATAAAACATACAATGTAAACGGTACCGCGACATTTTAAAAAACGCCCGCCGGCCCAAACGGGCCCTTACTCTAACTAACTCTCGATGTCCTTTATACTTTTTTTTTTAAGCCTTTATAAATAAATAATATTATTCCAAAAAAATAATTAGCCATGTGATTAATAATATATGTATAATGAACTGATCAAGAAACTTGCCTCCTTTGGATGGCATTCCCTCTCCATGACTCTCTTCCAGCTCACTCTCTCTGCAGCCTCCTCCTCTCACTCTCCACCGCCGGCGATCTTCCTCGAGGCCAACAACTCCATGCCCACCTTCTCAAATCCGGCCACACCCCCTCCTCCTCCCCTTCCTCTCCTATCTTCCTCCTCTCCACCCACCTCATCACCCTCTACTCCCGCTGCTTCCTCCCTCTCCTCTCCCTTCGCGCTTTCCTCGACCTCCCTTCTCCATCTCCCTCCTCCTGGTCCGCCCTCATCTCCTCCCTCTCCCGAAACTCCCTCCCCTCCCTCGCCCTCCTCTCCTTTCGCCGAATGCTCGCCGCCGGCCTCCCCCCTTGCGACCGCACCCTCCCATCAGCCGCGAAGTCCCTCGCCGCCATCTCCGAACCCTCGGCCTCCGCCGCTCTCCATTCTCTGGCGCTGAAGTATTCCCTTTCTCCTCACAATGTCTTCGCCGCATCCTCTCTGCTGGACATGTATGCGAAATGTGGACGCTTGGCGGATGCCCGCCAACTGTTCGACGAGATTCCTCAACGAAATGTTGTTTCCTGGTCCGCACTTATTTACGGGTACGCCCAGTTCGCCGGACTTGAACACGAAGCTCTTCACCTCTTCCGGGCTGCTCTTCAGCCCGGCGGCTGCGGCGTCAACGATTTCACGCTCTCATGTATCGTCCGCGTGTGTGCTGCAGCCACTCTCCTCGAGCTTGGCTCCCAGGTACCGCCATTACTTCGATCCAAACCCTAATTTATTCATCGACCAATCTTCAAGCTTCATCTGAATCTTCATCTCTCCACTGATAAAATTTCCCAAGGTACACTCACTGTGTTTCAAAACCGCTTATGATGCCTCCCCTTTCGTCGGCAGCTCGCTTGTTTCGCTCTACTCAAAATGTGGCCTTGTGGAAAACGCCTACCAGGTTTTTGACGAAATTCCGGAGAGAAACCTCGGCTCATGGAATGCAGTGCTTATGGCCTCCGCGCAACATGGCCACAGCAGCCTCGCATTCAGTCGTTTCAGAGAAATGCAGCAACTTTGTCCCCATCCACCCAACTTCATCACCTTCCTTTGCCTCCTCACAGTCTGCAGCCACGCCGGTCTTGTTTCTGATGGTCGCCACTACTTTGCCTTGATGTCCAAGTACACCATCCAACCAACTTCCGAGCACTATGCTGCAATGGTCGACATTCTTGCTCGTGCCGGCAAGCTCAAGGAAGCCATTGCCACCATCGAATCCATGCCCATGCCTCCAACGGAATCCATTTGGGGCGCGCTCCTCACTGGTTGCCGACTTCATGGTGACATGGAGACTGCAGCGTATGCCGCGGACAAGGTGTTCAATCTTGGTTCTGAGGGGTCCGGTGCACATATGTTGTTGGTGAATGCCTACGCGACTGCTGGCCGCTATGTAGAGGCAGCACAGGCTCGAAAAGCGATGAGGGATAGAGGCGTGAGGAAGGAGACGGGGCTGAGCTGGTTGGAGCTCGATCAAGGAAAAGTTCACACCTTTGTTTCTGGCGACCGATCACACCCGAGGATGGAGGAGATATATAGGGTGTTGGAAGAGGTGGGTGAGAAGATGGAAGCAATGGGGTATGTGGCGGACACGAGCTGGGTTGGAAGGGATGTTGATGGCGAGGAGAAGAAGAGAAGTGTTGGTTATCACAGCGAGAGGTTGGCGATTGGTCTTGGATTGCTTGCGGTGGCTCCGCCACGACCCATAAGGGTGATGAAGAATCTGAGGGTTTGTGGGGATTGCCATAATGCTATCAAGTATTTGACAAAATGTACTGGTAGGACTATCGTGTTGAGGGATAATCGTCGGTTTCATCGGTTCGAGGATGGGGTTTGTTCTTGTGGGGACTATTGGTGATCTATCTTGTTGAAGGCCGATGTTTGAATTCAATTAGGTTTATAGAATTGCAATCATGTGATTGCTGAAGAATACTAACAGAGTATAGAGATGGACAGGGGAAGAAGAGAGCTAAAGAGAAAAAGAGGAGAAATGTAAGAGAGATTGAGAAGGCTAAGTAGCCATTTGATCTTCTTTTTTAGTCAGCTTAAACATGAAAATTGATGTAAAAGATTGGCCTTTTATTCCTCGGCAAGGGCTTCTATTTGCAGGCTCTGTTATGGTCATCACTGAATCTTCCTTTGTTGGGATCCTGCAAGAAAGAACTTTCAGAATCACCGAGTTTCGCCATTCAGTCCATTGCTGACAGGTCCTGCTTGCTACTGTAAGTTGATGAAATCTGGCATTTTGATTTTTATTTATTTATTTTTTTTTTTGGAAGTAGATGGGTAATTTTGTGTAGGTTGGGAAGCATTTCAAAGTATGGAAATTCTTGAACAGAACAGCTTCATATATAGATATAAAAGCACTGTGAAAAAATTTTGCTTGAATTGTTTGAGTTCGGATTGTTGGGATTTATTAGGATTGATTGCTTTTTCAGATTTTGTTGTAAATATTTTTATTCTAATTTGGTGTCACATTGAATTTGGATTAACAGGTGTAGTGTCTGATAGGATGGGATAAGTTCAATATGCTCTTGGGATGAACCTATCCTAATTAAGCCAATTAAAAATAAAGAGGAAGAGAAATTAGGCTTAATTAGGTTGATGTGTCTAATGTGTATTCTATCTGAGCAAGTATGACATGCTCTGGAAGTGTTCTACTATTGAAATTTCTATCATATTTCAAGCCATTTACAATGCATTTTTTATAAATTTATACATCTTTTTTTAACTCATAATCCAACCATCTTTGCTTGTTGCTATTAAATTGATTGCTAATATTTGATAAAGAGTTGATTATTGATTAGAATTGCACTGTGATGATGTCCTTTATTAGTGAAATATTTTTATTGTCTTATTATACTTTTCAGTGCAATATTGCTCTACATCCTAGGGAGAAATGATTGTTGATTAATTAGGATTCAATCATCATTTAAGATCTATAATCATATCTCATTAACATGATCAAAGGTTTCTAGCATTTTCAAATTTAATAAAAGGATAAACATTTATGAAATTTAAGCTCTGATAAGATGATTCACGTAAATGAGTTTGTTAGATCGGCGATTACTGCTCTGTCCGTCAAATAATTTGAAGACTTAAGTTAGACACAGGACAAAACGACAATTCAGTAATTTGTTAGTTATTATTATGAGTTATAATTAAGGCTTAATATGTTTAGTGTTAGATTATATGTGATTGTTGTCTTGATTCTTTATGTTAGATTTTGGGAGAGGCCAGCAACCTCTCAATTTGTAGGTGTTTAACTTTTATGTATTCAAAATTGTATCTTTTTAATTTGGTACTTGTGGAATAGAATCTATTATTTATGCCTTAATTTCCGCAAAAAAACTTGTATCTTTCCTATCAAATTGCTACCAGAGAATTTGTGGTCAATGCTCTACTAGAAATATTTGTCATTCGTATTTGATGCCACTGCTCTGCCTTGTATTGTTCTGAAACCATAGTTATGTTGCCTTTGAGGCCAAACCCCGCGATACAGTCATGCTTCGAGCTAGCTGGTAAGCCAATGACAAGATCCTGGTGTGCAGCTACCTCGCGATTCAGCCTCAATTCGAGCTAGTTGGCAAGCCAACGACGTGATCATGGCGTACAGGGTTCCACTTCTTTACCGAACATTGTGATACAATTACGATTCAAGTTAGCTGGGAAGCCAACGATAGGATCGTGGCGTATAGGGTTCCACCTTCGTGTGCAATACAGTACTGATTCAAGCTAGCTTGGAAACCAATGACAGGATTACGACGTCTAGGGTTCTGCCTTCATAATCAAACCTCGTGCTATAATTGTGATTTGAGTTGTTGGGAAGCCAATGACGGGATCACAGCTTACAGGAGTTCCGCCTTCATGATCGACGACTGTCCTGAGTAATGACAGCTAAGAAAATAGATGCCTTGAAGGAGAAACAAAGGGGAAGGTGAGCCAAATCAGATCTGAAATTGAGGAGTATTTATGGACCATGGAGTGGCGGTTCTTGTCCACGGATGGGAGATTCATGGCCGTTGAAAAGTTAATGAAAAAGATTATGGAGTTTCACGCAAACCATCACCGCCCGTCGTGGGATCAAGCAATTGCCTCTGGAGCGTTAGCGAGCGACATCAATCGGAAGGAATTGTTCGACATCAAGGGTGCGTCACTTAGGCAAATCAGGAGTCGCTAGATCGAACGCAGGAATCGAGAGCGGATTCAAGAGGCAGCACTTGGAAGGAATTATGCGAATTCAGGCGGTTGTAAAGAACAGAAGCTTGTATGGTCAATTGAAGGAGTTAGGAGCTGATTCGAGCAGCATCATTTGGAGGAAATTGCATGAAATATGGATTTTTGGAACGAGGGACAATCGGCAGAATCAGATGTCTTGCGATTCAGGCTTGGAGAAGATCGATTTGAAGGATTTTAACTTGGAATTGGGAACCACGGTGGGTTGGACCCTAACGGAGGGTTGCATACAACCGCTCCAGCGCATTTGTTACGACAATATTTTCGGAGAAGGCGATTCGTGTAAGTTGATTTTGGGGTGAGCAAAACTTATGAAAGAAAAGAAATCAATATGGGTCGAGTACAGGAACCTAAACCCCACTTCTTGGGTGTAATGAGCTTCGGTCGAGGAAATTGAGGAAACTCACACATGAAGAAACTGAAGATGTTGATCTTTGAAAGAGAGGATGCTCATGGTCGAGTTTATCGAGCGGGGAGATACTTCGCTGTTAATGGGCTGACGGAGGAAGAAAAATGGTTGACGGTGGCCTTGTGTTTGGAAGGGAAGGCTCTAGCGTGATATCAATGGAGAGAATAATGCAAGACAATTAGAACATTGGATGAATTCAAAGTCCAATTGTTAGAGTGTTTCAGAACCACACTAGAAGGGGATTTACAGAACCATTTTTTGCATTGGTCCATGAAGGATCTATTGTTGATTATTAGGAGAAATTTGAGATGATATCCAACTGTTTGAGAGGGATATCAAAAGTTGTGTTGGAAGGAAAATTTTTTAAAGGTTTGAGGCTAGAAATTCTAGTAGTGTTTCATCTACTGAGATCATGAGGATTTAGGAAACTATGAAATTAGCACATTTGGTTGAAGATAAATATGTAATGGAATGAGCTAATAGGAGCAACACAAGTGGTAATGGAATGAGCTAATAGGAGCAACACAAGTGGAGTGTCATACCAAAATTCTACAAACATTACAATACAAAATCAAATATTGGAATTCTAGTGGGATGCTCCACGGGAAATGAATAATTGGTCACGACTAGGGCAACATTCAAACGCCTTACAGAGACAGAGATTCAAGAGAAGCAAGCCATGAGGTTATATCTTTGGTTGACGAGAAATTTGCCTCAGGATACTGTTGCAAGGATTGAACCTTACAAGTTCTCACAATGTGTGACAAGGAGGAGGCAGGAAATGGAGAAACGGAGGAGGTTGTAGTAGAGGAGGAGGAACACCGTCACTTGGATGTGGCAGGAGTCTTATTATTCTCGGTGGTGGGTTAACGTCAAACCACACTATGAAACTTTAAGGGCGGAACACATAGTAGAACATTGTGGTGTTGGTAGTTAGTATGGCCACCCACAACTTCATCTCTACCCAAGTGACACAAGAAGTTTTGGAGTCATGATGGGGACGAGACAGGTGGAGAAGAGTAGGGGAGTTTGTAAATGTGTGATTTTGACACTGCAATGTATTTAGATGATGGGGTATTTTTTTTTTCTTGGATTGAAGGAGCACTTATATGATATTTGGTATAAAATGGTTGCAGTCCTTAGGGGAGACTAAGATGAATAAAAAACTCCTGACAATGGAGTTCCAGGAGGGAGACACGATGGTGGTGGTTCACGGCTACCTTAGTTTGTGCAAAATTTTGGTGTAACTCAAGACCATGGTTAGGGCAATACATGACGTAAGGTTGAGATTCTTGATCGAGTTGCATAGCATGGAAGAGACACATGACGCAAAGTTAACAGAGATTCTGACATCGATCCAACAACTCCACAAATATTTGCATAATTTTTTTAGTTGCAATGTCGATTGGTGCCTTGGAGGGAACATGAGCATACAATTACCCTGAGACAAGGGGTTTCTCCCATCTTCCTTCAAGGTTTCAATTCAATGTTAATAGAGTTGGATGAATCTTTTGGTAGAAAAGGAGGCAATCAAATTAAGAAAATAGGGCTTCACCTCTAAGTAGACTTAAAAGGCCCATTGATAACACTTTTCAATGATAAAAAAACTACCCTTATTGTTCTTTGTGGAAGTGATAGAAGTGTCTTTGATGAGATATTTTTGCATCTTACAAATGGTGAGTAAATGACTACAATGCCATAACATCTTAACATGAATTGGGTTGACAATGTGAAGCATGTTTTCGAGTATGTTACATAAAGAACTAGGTCTCACTTCAAGCATCGGGATGCCTCACTTGTATGGAACTACAAGTATGTAGATGTTGAATTTGGAATAATTCAAGTAAGGGGCATGCTACAACATCTACGGATACATCTAATATCTAATGTAGCTATTGATATCATTTCAGACAGTTAATCAATCGAGGTCTGTTCAGGGGTCATTTAGGGTGATGCAATTGATCGAATATCGGGAGAAATTATGAACAACAAGAATATGGTTACCCCAATAAATTATGTTTTATGTATCAAGCATTTCCTGGGAAATGATGAGAATATGAAATTTCTTTTGAAACCACTTGAGTTAAAAGTGATATGCCAAGAATTGACATGTGGGGAGGAAGTGCTGATTTAACGGAAATGATTGCCAAAATATGCTGCAACGTGGGAGTCATACGGATTGATCCAGGAGCAATTTTCTCTCTTTCACCTTGAAGACAAATGTGTATTTTTGGGAGGAGAGTAACGTTAGACTGGTTCCTAGGGCGTCGTCCCCCAAATAATTTGAAGAGTTATGTTATGAGCAATACTAAAAGGGCAATTTAGTTATTTGTTATTTATTATTGTGGGGGTATAAATATGACTTCATTTGTTTAGGGTTATGTTATGTGTGATTGTTGCCATGAATCTTAATGTTAGGGTTTAAGAGAGATCACGTGTCTCTCAAATTGTAGGTGTTTGTCTTTTATTTATTTGAGATTGTATTGTTTTGAGCTAGTACCGATAGAATGATTTTTTTTTTAATTTTTGCTCGAATTTGTGTGAGAACTTGTCTCGTTCCCAAAGTCCTTGTTTTGCACATCTATGATTGGTGTGATTTCGAATTATTAAATTGCATTGAGACTTCATGATAGAATTAGATAGATATTTATATGGGTTAGAGGCTTAGGGCACCTCTATGTTTCTTATTAGAGAATAGAGACAATTCATAAATATAACATTATTATGCGGTCTATTATATTTCAAAATAATCTCAACAATAAAGAATATATTTTTTGCTTTTTGAATGGACCTTTGTGATAAATACAAAGTTAAATTATCATATATAAGTCATAATGAATCTTGATACAACCACCTAAAGTTTTGTGCTTATGGTAGTGAATCACAAAATGCTTATTTGGGGTTATCTCTTATTCCGTCACTTATGGTCCGTTTGGGACAGCTTATAAGTGTGGGGGCATTTTTTGAAAACGCCGCGACACTATTTGGATCGCGCATTTTGTCTACTTATTTGAAAACGCGTTTCCATTTTTACACTAAACGCAGGCCGCGGGTCGAACCCCGCGGGCCGCGTTTTAGGATAAGCTGTTTATCCTGAAACGCACAAGCTGCCCCAAACACACCCTCAATTAGAGAGAAATTATTTGAAAAACTCATCACCAATCACATTGTTTTATCTTTTGCATTAGAAATGCTTTTATAAGTTACAACTTTATACATATTAAGGCTCTTTACTTGACATAGGAATTTTTAGTCCTCCATAGGAATTGGGTTTTATGTATGTAGCATTTATTGGGTTTTATACATATTAAGGCTCTAATTCATATCCAATATCAAGAGACAACGTAGCATTTATAGACAAAAACCTTATTCATTTATTATAAAATTTATTCCATATAAATTTAAATCATAATATTATAGTCCAAATGAATGCCGTTTATTTTTTATCATTACAACAGGCTTGTAATCAAGAAGGCAAAAATTATGATACAAATAAGGAGCTTATCCAATGGAGCCACTTTGTATTTGGCCATCATGCTTATGATTGCTGAATTTGGAGTTGTTCCTGCCAAATATTAAATGTAATTAGAAAGGTAATTTAGTTTAATAAAAAAAACAATTATTAAATGATTAAATTTCCTAAAGGCTATGCACAAACAGCATATGTAAATTTTAAAAGAAAAGCATTTTTTAGGTCTGATCAGTAGATTATGCCTATAAATGCTGCTTTAAGTTCTAAGGCAAGTTAAATAATAATAATAATAATAATAAATAACGTACTTGTAATCAGTCATTACTGCAGCCTATGTGACCAACTACAACCTATGTGGTCAGTTACTACTGAAGCTTTCCACTACATCATATGTGGCCAACTAACACTATTTAGTAAAGAAGTGAGCAATCATTTTAAAAGCTATTCTATACAAAACATACGACGATAGAATTAAGATATGAAAAAAAATCATCACAATTTAGTTGATAAATGTCTTTGGATCTCATGGAGTTGTATTTGCTCACCTCATTCACAAATAAGGCGTGGAATCCAAATGGCACTCTGGATGGCAACTCCACTGCTGCCACAAGCTCAGGGGACAATGTCTTTGCATCAACTACATTCACTTCAGATTTCCTGCACCAATTATATGATTTACAAACAATTTGATCCTTAGTGTCTGAGACAACATATTATTAGCATTAGTACAAAATTTAATAGAAATTATTCTTTATTCTTGGATATTAATATATTCAAAATTCACTTATAAATTTTGTTATTATGGGTTATATATATATTTAGTGAAGTGTCAAAATAATTATCAGACTATTTGCATGGCGTCATTTTAGTGCAATAGTCTATAAAAAAATGTTAAATTAGACCCTTTTTTAATATGGACTAAAATGGTCCACATGAAGGATTATTTAGCTCTTATGAAATTAATCGCGGACTAAATTGATATTTTTATAAACTTTGAGACTAAAATGACTGCTGACAAAGATTCAAAGGACAATTTTGACGCTTTACTCTCTTTATATGTGTGTATTTAGGACTTTTTTGGGGCATTAAGTATTGCGAGCCGCCGCTCCACCTATAATCTTATCCTCTATTTCTATGCAGTAAATTCTTCTACTTTGTGCCTGTTGCTTGCCCATCAAAATTTTTCCACGTAAATCCGCATAATTTCATAACATTGCCTAGCAATTAGTTGAAAGTTCATGCAAATGGGAGAAAAACAAGTACCCTGAATTCTCATCATGTACAAAAAAGATCAAGTAGCCATCATCTTCTTCAGCTGCAGTAGCTGGTGTACGAGGCACAAATATTGCTTCTGAACCAAATCTCCCTGGTCCCAACTCATAAATGGCTTCCACGTTGCCTCCAACTTCAAGCTGGCTAGTACCAGCAACAGGCTCTCTAAGAAGATCAAATTTTATAATGCCCTTTATGTGCTTGTTGTCTACAATAGTGCTGTAGACATACCGCTGTTTCCTGAATTCATAGAATGGAATAGAAGGATAAAGTTTTGTGTAAATAAATGAGTGTTAGAAAATTGAATATGAATTAAGTGAGTAAAATCCTGAAAATATTTTCTTAATGGCAACTTAATAGCAATTAAGAAAAAATGTAAGCTGCCATTAAGACACAATTTTGTAATAGAGAATGGACATGACAATCTACTGCCCATAAGTCTAGTAGAAAATATTATATTTCAAATTTACCTGCCCATGAAACTTTCATTAATCCTAGGAAATTCTATGGTAGGTGCTGACAATTGCTTCTGAGTAGCTGCACCAGTCTTCATATTAAACCTCATAAGGTACCTAAAATATCAATTAAATGTCAGAGAGGGGGGCATTTTAATGAGACAAAAGTTGAAGGAATTCTTGTTTGATTACGTACAATCGAGACTCTGTAGTTTCTGTCTCATCTCTTACAGCTCCATTGAACAAATCAAAATCTATTTTCTCATAGTGGCATGTAATAAGAACAACTTCATCACCTTCCTCCCAGGCATTCGCTGAAAGTAATCAGATTGGAAAATAATAAGTAACAGGAGACAAATATAAAAGAAGTATGAGAGATATTCTCAAAACTACCAAGAAAAATTTAGGAGTTTTTCTTACTGTTCCACCTGAGTAAAGAAATTCAGAATAACCGGTCATTTACAGTTTCAAATTGTTCATGAATGCGGTCAATTGGTAAGTCATGATTTCCATCACTAGTGCTATATAAATATTATGAGAAAACTAAATGCAATGAAAGTGATGCCACGAAGAACAAAAGAAGCAAAGAGAATAAGTTAGATTGAGTCACTCGAACTAGTAGTTGGGTGCTTCGTCTCAAATCACAAAGTCTTGTGATCTAGGCCTAACACAATGCGTGTTTGCAAGTTTTTGAAAAAAAGCATAAAAGACTAACATCTAAGTGAAAATCCCAAATTGGAAAATTTATGAGCAAAGGAGAAGAAAAAGTACTACATTTGGAAGAAAATCACAAAGTGGAGAATTTATAATTCGGCGGGTGCAAACTCTCTTTACATACCAAACTCTAATGAAAAAATAACGCAAATATAAACCTAATAAAAACATAATATACTAAAAGGCGAGTACAAACACCCTAATAGAATTTTTTTCCTTATAATTCTAGCTGTGCCGCATATGTCACACTGCAAACTTTTCAATAGAACCCTGTTCATAAACTGTAATGCTAAAGCGTCCTAAGTCTATTGGACCTTGAGCTTTCTAATGATGCTAGGATCGCAGTCAAATAATATTCTTATTATATCTCAAAACTACCAGTATTTTTGTCACTAAGATATTTAATGTTAACAAGGAAGAAAAATAAGAAGACGATTAATCAAGATGGCATACAAATTATGATCAACAACATATTCATCAAGCAATATAATTTACTCTAGATCATGCAATAATATGTTTAAGAAAACATATTTAGAATCACACTAGCTTAGTGAATTTCCTGACTACTTGAGAGTTCTCTGAAACATGCATATTTTACAAGTGAAAACTTGAAGTTTGTAAAAATTTTAGTCATCCTTTTCTGCACTTTAGCTTTTTATTCAAAAGCTCAGATTCATGTGAAATATAATTTAGAAGATGAGAACCAGATATAGAATGCTTAAGGCTCAATTACACATTTATAAAGTCAAACAATGCAAGAGCTTACTGTGTTAATAGGAAAATAAAACTGAAACTAATCAAAAGATAGTGAGAAAATCACCATTATGAAATATGAGGCAACTTGGAAGCTCAAACCATCTAATCTGATTTTCATCTTTCGCATATCGTGGAAGTATGCCGAAACGAGCTTTCTTCATACAATCAAATGAAAAGGCCATTTTTCCCTTCACTAATTCCTGAAAATAATGTTCATTTAAAACATGCTTTGTTAAGAAGTATTTAAAAAAAGTACAACCCTGTCTTCTAACTATTTATGGAGGATCATTTAATAAGTGTCAAATTAGTCCTTGTACTTTTTTAATAGGGGTTGAAACAATCCTTCTTTTATAAGAGTTTAGGGGCTATTTCAACCAATCTTAAGAGAAACCAGGGCTAATTTTACATTTTGATAAACTCTGGAACTAAAATAATCTCAAGCGAGAAGTCAATGGTTCATTTTGACACTTTTTTCATTAAAAAAAAAATCTTTTTGTGAAAAAACTTCTGGATCCCCAACATGCTTGTTAAATTTGTATTAATTTTTTCCTAGATATTCAAACAGACAATGATCATGCATGTGATAGAGTTGCCACCTTTGGTCGAAAGCACAAAGGTAGATCCATGAAAATAGCATAGTTTTCGGTGATAGCGAAATCGTGCATCAAAACCGGTTCATCTATCGTTATTGGCACTGGATCAAACATAACACCGTCCTTGGAAATGACACGATAAGTAAGGTATGGAGGCTTTAATGAGTTACCAAATGTGAACATCTCACCTACAATCCCAAATCCAACAAGTTAAAAAAAATTAACATTGGAGTACTGCATTGAATATAATGTGCATTTAGGATTTTATTCTCACCAGTCTTTGGATCAACTTTTGGATGAGCAGTAAATGTGTGTGTAAGCCTCTTGTCATAATCCAACGTGCCAAGAGTCTGCAAGTCTCCATCTTCCAACACTTTGATGACATCTATAGAATACAGAAAGTAATTTCTAAATATCCATTTTAATGTAAGTTTAGGGAGTTTTAACATCAGAATGTTATGAATTGAGGCTTTTTTTTGCTTCTCCATTTGGACATGAATGATTTGAAAGATAAATATGGAGGTTTGTTATAGAACAAGATAATCACTAAACATGAGCGAAACATCTATGGTAGTATGAAATAAATATACTTACAAGGTTTGTCATTTTCATGTAAAGCCAGAAGCTTGCCATGATGGTATATTAGAGCTGTATTGGCTGAAACCATGTAACAGATAGTTAGCACTCATAACCATATTCATGTTAGCTATCATAATTAGTTGTGTGCATTAGTTGGTCAAAATAAAAAAATTGAGTCGAACCAAATTATTTTACATGATTTAGTTCGGGTTCAAAGTGCATTTCAATTTTCAAATTTCAATATTCATTTTTAGATTATATATTCGGTTTCATTTAACTGAACAACTGAAAAACCAAAATTTTGAAATTATATGGAGGATTCGTGAAATTAAACTGAGATTATCTTGTAAGTTTAGTAATTCTTGTTGTTTGTTTATAACCATTCTCCAACTAACAAGTAAATTTTGATTTGTTCATAAATAACACGTTTAAATTGAATTAGATTTCAGTTTGGATGATTTGGTTTTATCAAAATTTTGATTGATTCGGTTTTTCAAATATTGGTTTTCGATAGCAATCAGTTTGACCAATTTTAAAATTAAACCATTCAAACCGACCGAATGCTCACCCTTAATTATGATAATGAGTACATAATATAAGAATCCACAAGGCCAAATCATAACAAGTTCTCTGGCATATTGAATATAATGCAATTACAAATTAAACTACCTGTTCCAGTTCCATACGAAACATCCAATACAAGTTTTTCTCTGAGGAACTTCATTTGAACCATAAATAGTCCAAAGAGTCCCTTGAGGTCCCCAATCTGGAAGCAACAGAAGGATCGTTATTAATTCCATTTCTACAGATTGAATTCAAACAAAAACAGAAGACATTTAGATAGAAAATATTAGAGGGAAAGTTTAAAAATCTTTCACACAGATGCATGTTAGGAAAATTTCTATTATGGAGAAGAAAATTTCTAGGTACTAATGCATCTAGAAGGTTGAGATTTCATAAAACTGCTTGGCTAAGAATCTACCTCACAAGTATAAGAATGATTTACCATATTAAACTCTTATAAGAACATGAAAATAGCAGATGATGATTGAAATGATGTCGAAGCCATCGATTTTTATTACCTTTGTAAATTTAGCTGCTCCGAAATATTCTTCTTGATTAAGCTTGGATGTCATCACATAACGAGCAACATAAGTTGCTTTTCCATTTTTTATGCGCAGGCCGTGAATCATTCTGTAACATTATCATACAAACACGTTGTCAACATTATCTTTTATATTAAGCTCATGACATATGATAAACACATGCAGCTTCTAAAACTATTTTTTTGTGGGGGCACATTTACATACATATTACATAATTTTTATGCATTTTCATATCAAACACATCAATATTTGCATATATGACAGCCGAATCTTTAATATCACATAAAAAAAATACCACTATCATTAATTTTTTAAAAGTGAAATACACAATTTTATGTATATATTTATGACACCAAAGTGCTATAAATATAAATATCAAATTTGAGGTGTTAGATATGTTAATACATATAAATTGTGTGGTATATATGTAAATTTCTCTCTTTTTTTTTTTGGGCGGCCTCACCTTGAAATTCTTTATTTTATTTCTAACCTGCAATGTGATATGCATTCAAAAACCAACTTCTGAAACTAATTTAAGAAAAATATATAATAATTAGGAATTATTTGGTAACATACTAAAGATTCAAGAACACTAATTACCAACATTATAACATTATTGACCACGACCTTAAATCAATATGGCTATTAGCCTTGGGAAATGATTAAGAAATTAAGTATTGTGATATATTTTAGGAAGATTTACATATGTTCCCCTTAATTTTTATGTATTTATATATGTAACACCAAAACTTTTATTTTTACATATATATCACCTTAGCTATGCATGACATGGTGTACTTCACTTAAAATGATGGTATTTTTTTATGCTATCTAAATAATTTAAGTGATAAAAATGTAAAATGCAAAATTTAGGTGTTAGATATGTGAACAGGTACAACTTCATAGCAAATAAATTTGAGTTTGGAAATCTTAAACTCGGTTTATTCACAACCATTTCGAGCTTAACATGGTCATAAACGAACAAAAAAATTTGAATCAAACTGAACACGAACATGTTATTCACGAGCCTATTTTGAAGAAAAAGAAATATCAAACGAGCATGGACCCGAATTGATATCTAGCTTGCTTAAGCTCTCCACTCGTTTACAGTCTTGGAGCAAATATTATGTGCGGCGACTGCACGTCCGAACGACAGTCCGAACAAGCAGCCCATGTGATACACAACGGACACGCTTGTCGCCGAAAACCTTACAAAAGAAAATTACTGAAAATTCATCACACCCACCATGTTACTAATTAGTATTATTCTTTCATAATAAATTCACACCTAAAATAATAATATATATATTTTTTTATTTCCAATGTATTGAAATTGTATAAACAACATGGATATGAGCACGCACTTGTAAACAGAAAAATAAAAATAGAAAAAAAATAGGGCGGATTTATTTGGGAACTTTTGTTTAATATATGTAGAATCAAAGAAATTACGTACCCGTCTCCATCAAACCTGCAAAATAAAATAAAATAAAAATTCATAAATACAAAAATACGAACACTAAATTAGTTTTTTTATTTATTTAAATTTTATTTTATTTTTTAGCACACTCAATTCTTTTAAATTTACATATCTAACACCAAACTTTCAATATATATATATATTAAAATAAAGGAATGGCTAGAGGCAATTATACGAGCCCCCAGCCATCCCTAATATGCGTAACAATTCGAGTATCACGTTCCATAAAACGACGGTCGCTAGAGGAGGATTCAAACGTCCAACCTCTGGGGACTTACAACTGACATCTCATATGCCAACCAACAAGTCGTATATTATAAACGATACCAAACAAAATTTAAAAACAAGACTTTTAAGCATACGAGTCACTTTATGACATGATTGTTTAATGAAATAATTACCAGTGATAGCCAGAAACTGGAAGAAATTTGGGATTTGGACCAACTCTGACGAATTCTCCATTCAAGCACTCCTGCAAGTATGAAATCTTCAAAGTTTACTGCACCAACCAAATAAAATAGTAAATATTTATCTACTCTACAAGCTCCATAAAAAGAAAAATAATCCGAATTTTATTAAAAAATTAGACATGTTTTGAAGACTTCTAATAAATTCAATCCTGTTTCTATATTTTCTCAGTTATATCCTAAATTTCAAATTTATTTTTGGAATTTAATAAATCCTAATTTTAGGTGTGAGATGTGTAAATGCATAAGAATTCCAAAATGGAAGCAGAGCGGCACAGGGGAAAACCGATCCAAACCGATGTCTCACCGGAAGAGAGCCGCGGACGGCGAGATCAGAACGAGGCGGCGTCTCTTCCGCCACCGGAGCAAAGTTTCCGGCGAGGAAGAGGTTGTGTTTCGAGGAGCGAACTGTCCTGCGTCAGCTTCACGACCACTCGCTCCATAAGATCAATCGATGCCGACAAGAAACTCTTCCATGGCGTCGGTTGAATCGGCAGCACGCCGGGAATCGCGCTCATTCGCGCAGCCGATGACCGCCAGTTGTTCCTCATTTTCACCTCGATTAGGGTTTCTTTGCTCACTGCTCGATGCCGATTCTGGTCGCTGTTTCCAGATTTATATACGACGGCTCCGGCGGGAAAAGAAATTGCATTCATGTCCTTTTATTCTCTTCCTTCTTGACAAACCTGATTTGCAGCCATTTTTTAATATGCAATGTTATAGGAGCATTAGATACATCATTATAATTAAAAATATCATATATATAT